GTAGACTGTCTGGTTGGAGTCCTCGGGATTCTAAGAACCAGTGGCTGGACTAACTGGTGATATGGCTAGAAGTCGCTCTCAGTGACGAAGATGCATTTCACTCTTTGTGATGTCCCGTAACCAATAAAACCCTCTTGTCTTTCCCTGTTACTATTATTTCTCCCTCACATTTCTGCTTATTATTATCGTTCTTTCGAATCTCTTTTTTGCTCACTTTTATTTTCCTTTGTGTGGTAGATGGAGTGTGGCAAGTTGAACTGCTGTACTTGTTTGTAAAGTTCTATGTTGAAGCCAGTCAGTCATTATAATAGTTCATAATGAATTAATAGTTATAGGGATTGAACTTAGGGGATTTCAAAACCCTAGTTCCAAGTCAATAATTTCACTAATTCTCTCCTACTCCTTTTAGTGTTCTTTTAACTAACATCTAAGTTATAGTTACCAGCCTTCGAATACTTACAATTAAAAGGAGTGGAGGGAAATTTTACGGTACCATATTAAGATGTAGTCCAGAGGGTTAAGAGCCGAATTTTCAACCAACGGGTCATGGGTTCGAATCCTTCTCCACTTATTTCAGTCCGGTAGCTGGGTAGTATCACCAACCCCTCTTCTTTTATAAACTGGGATGACCAACAATCCGCATCATTCCTATGGAACTACCTCGGTATCCCATACACTGGCTAGTATTTTAGGTAATGTCAGTAATTCGCTACCGTAGTCTTTAGTTAACTTTAGAGTCATACCATCAGATTCTGCTGCTACGCTTCGTTTTAGATCAGAAGCAACTATTGCAACCTCAGCTATAGTCGGAAGACTGTCGTCTGCACCCCAACCAGAAAATGGTTGGATGATGTGAGGATGCAGAGTAAATGTTGCTAGGATCCTATGAGCTCTAGCGGTAGTCACAGAGTGTAGATATAAGTCGGCTGAACTGCTTCCCGAAGTCTTCCGCCCAATGTTTCAGTTGCTTCTCCTGAGAAGCTTTTAAAACCCCATCCTTTTTGGATATAGTTTCAATTACTACAATTTTCCAGAGAGTATGTTTCTTCGACAAGTTTAATTGATTCATGGAAAGGTAATGTAGATAACTTACCGGTTATCGAATGGTGACTCTTGATTTGATTGCCACCTTATCTTTATTAAACCCATCCCATCACACAACTCCTGAAACGATGTGAGCAAGTTAAGCTATGCTTGTAACTGTCTTTAGTCAGCTATCAGTGTGGCAGTGGAATTGATGAGTCCTCGTGAAAACACCTATATTGATTTATCAAACAATCAGTTTGCTGATTCAAACTTTATGTAGATCTAAATTTCCGTTTCACCTATCGTTAACGCATTCTCCATGTTGTTAGTACGTGTTTGTCTTCTTTGAAGCGTTTATTTTTCACTAAAATGGTGATGATAATAATAATGATAATAAAATGCGTATTAAAAGTCATATTCAGATTTATGTACTAGACTTTAATGTATATCTGATAAATAAAGACAGATGATGCTGTTGGATTAGACTGGTTCGAACTCGGGGTCCAATAACTGCTATTTGAATACTTACATTTGTAACTGAACCACACCGACTGATTCTTTTTGTCATACACTGACACGTCAGTTTAGACAAGTCGTAGGTGGCTCAATCAATTTATTTTGTATGTGTGGTGTATAGGTAAAGGACGTCTGCTCCTCCTTTTATTACTCTCAAATCTGTGTGGAGACCAGCAGCACTCCACGGCATGAAAATGAGATCCGGATTTTCAACCCCAATGCGATGTCAGCGCTACTTACTATGCGGATCAGAGATTTGGCCAGCGCGTCACGAAGGGTATTTCAGACAAACTACAGACCTTCATCAACAGCTGTCTTCGCTCAGTACTACCCAAGATCAGATGGTCAGAAGAGACCAGCAACAAGGATCTCTGGCAATGAGCAAATCAACCCAGCAGGAACCAATTGTGCAACGAATAGGCAGGAAAAAGTGGAAGTGGATTGGTCATACTCTGTGAAAACAAACCATCATCAAGTGACATCACACACCAGGCCATCGCTCGAGTGGAAGTTGAATGATAAGCGGCGATTTGGTCGTCAGTGCGAGGGTGACACATGGATGAGGTCATGTGAAGAGGAAATAAAAGCATATGAGCAGACGTTGTCGGAGAACCGAATGCAATGGAGACGTGCGTCTGAAGCCCTATGTTCCTCTAGGAATTAAAGGAGACAAATAATAAATAGGTAAAGGACAGACATTAACCTTATGAAACTTTTTTTTGTCTCATTTAGAGTTGATAGTAGTAAATCAGTGAAAGGAACCAAAAATATTTAAGTCGATTCACTGCCTCCCATCAAACCTTTTCAATGGACTCCTTTTCATCTATTACATAAAGCTGAGATAATTGGCATTGGAACTACTAAGCCTAAAATATATGCATTCAGAAGAAATTCGTACAGACGTCATGTCTCCCTTGGTTAGTTAAGGCCTAATGAAATGACTATACTACCACCCCTTATGCATATATGTATATTTGTAATCGCTTTCTTATCAACCTTTAGTCTTATTGCGCCTTCACTAAAACATAGTTGTTTTTTTTTACTTCCCTTAATATATATAGCACAACTTACTTTTCGTAGCCTTACTGGCTACATCTATCTGTATAATTTTCATTAATAGTACTGTTTTCAGTATGCTTGTTACCGTAAATTGCTGCCCTTTGTCATCATTCTTTTCAACGGAATTATTATTACTATCACTGTGACTAATAATTGTACAATTAATATAAACACTGTCTTATCATGTTTTTGACAAATCACCATAATTAGTTTATATTTGTAAAGCTATTTAGGTATATTAAAATCTGTCTCCTTTATGGCTGCGAGTGAGACCTGGCCATTGAAAGTGGAAGACATGAAAAGGCAGAGTAGCTGTTTTTTTTACCATGGATAGGTGTATGCGTTCTATCTGCCGTGTGTGTGAAGGGGTATAATAGGGTGAGCAATATTGAGGTTAGGCATCGGTCGAGTGCTAGGTAAGGAGGGGAAATCCACAGACGAGACTGTGAAATTACACCGACTTAGATGGTTAGGACATGTGTTACAACGCATGCCAAGTCATCGCCCTCTTCGACAATTGGAAATGTTAGCTGACATAGGGTCAGGTTAGAAAAGAGCTAGCGGCGGTCAAACCAAAACATGGTTTCACCAGTCAATGAAATCTACAATAGTTAGTCTAAGCCACATAGGAAGGTGTAGACTGGCCTCCTGACTGGGGTCCTCGGGACGGCAAAAACCAATGGTTGGAGACAATTAGTGATATAGTTCAAAACGGTGCTCAATGGCTGGTGCAGATGCATCCACTCCTTGTGACTTATAATTTCCCGGTGAAATTATATTGTTCTTCGATAATACTGTTCTTTTTGCCTCATATCTTTGTTTACTGTGTCTATTTTGCGTTTCTTTTTTACTTTCTTCTCTTGCTTTGTGTGCTAAGTGAAGTGTGACGACTCGAACTACTGCACATCGGTGCAAAGTAGTTCTACGTTGAAACCAGTCAGTTAAGATTTACCTGAAAACACTATGGTTTGCTTCCATATATATTGATTAATGTACATGTGTATGTATTTCACTCTGCATTGGTGGTCCAACGGTAGAATGCCTGCCACCTACTTACTACATGGTCTGGTGAGGCTGAAATCCCACCTGACGCGCACACCTAAACCTCGCTAAGCCGGTAGTAACCTTGGTAAATATAGGGAAGGCTTGGCGTGGGACTAGCAATTTCACCCCGTAAAAAGAGAATACTACCATGTCTATTGAAATTTCAATTCCGGAATCTTGAAAAAACCCTATGTTTCACTGGGAACAGTAGGCAATAAGTAATATTAATAAATAAGATGTATTTTCAAAAGAATGGATACTGAACAAAGAGTACTCTTTTCGATAACTCCTTCATCATCAGGTTCTACAGTTATATATACATACATTACAGTGAATGAATGAATTAGTGTTATGAACAACATTAATGCCGTTGTTTAAATAACATCGAATCAATAATATCAATAGATTACAGTTCAATAGCATCAACATAGCAATAAACTGAATGACACAAAGATTAGGAAAGATAATATTATAAATTCATGAGTTTATAGTTTCTACTGAGGGCCGGCCAGGGTAGGGGCTGGACTTGCTTTTTTTGCACACTGAGCGCTGGTTGTTTGAGGCGAATTGCAGTAGCCTCTGCTCTTTGGAGTATGCGGTGCTTCGATGATTTTGGCAATTTATTAGGCACCCGGTAAATGATAGAGGAGGATTCTTCAACTCTGGCTTTGTGGCCGGTTTGGACCAGATGGTCTGATGTTAAACTGTTAATAGTTTTAACTACACCTTTACTTAGCCATAGTGGGAGATGTTCTCGTGCACGAAAATTCAAGTTCCTAGAGCAACGGCCAATATAACTCGCTCCACCATCAGCGCAGTTGAATTGGTAGATAAGATTTGAAGTGGCTAGCTAGGTACTAGTCTAGGTACTTCATCTTTCAGTCGAGGTAGCACCATCGGTCGTGTAGAGAGAGAATAAGGTGTGAAGTTCGTCAGCATTAATAGTTCTTTGAACTGATTTTCTTAATTTCTTCGTAATTATTTCGTTAGGTATATCGGCCTTGAATTGTAGTCGTATATATAAAGAGGCTTCTTGTTCAGTATCCATTCGTTTGAAAATTTTAATGGGCATTTTTAATCAGTTAAGATGTATTTTGCCATGTATTCACTTGTTTTGCCTTCTTTTTCTTTTGTTATTAAAACTTTTAGTTTTATTGCGGAGTTTTTTTTGGAGAGAATAGAACTATTTATCATATTAAATAACACCAGAAAAAAACAAAGAAAAACAGCCGACCTGTGGACACGAAGAAATCGGCAGCAGAGAAAGAGAGAAAGAAAGAAAGAAAAAGAAAATGACAGTTGACTATTTATCTTGTGGGACATGTTTTGTTACATTTCGTCTCTCTGACATAAGTATGTTTATTGAGCATAAAAAAGCAAGTTGTCTTACTGAACCGAGTCATCATAGTAACACGCGTAAACGACAATCAACTCTGCCACCAGGAACAGCTGCAAAACCTCTACTACCACCTTGTAATTCTTCACCTTTTAGCGATATTACAAATAAGCATATTAATAGTGGAAGCAGTAAAGAGCATTGTACTAATCACAATAATAATAATAATAATAATAATAATAATGAAAGTAAACACGAATCAGAGAATGTATTTTCTGGAATTTTAAAATGTGTTCAATGCTTACGTCAGTTCACTACACCTTGGCCGTTTTTAATGCATGTACAAATTGAACATCAGTTAATATTTGTTAGTTCTTGTGAAACATCACTTTCCGACGACGACAACGATGATGATGATGATGATGAAGAAATGGCAGAAGAAGAACCACCACAACAGCCTATGAAATCATCATGTCCTGATTCTGAAGAGTTGAGTGACGATAGTGACGATGATGATGTTGGTGTATTGGAACATACTGGTGAAGATAAATTTTCCAAGGGGGCAAACAATTGTAATTCCGATCCAGTGACAGTAGCAGCGACAGCAGAAACAACAAAAACAACAACAACAACTGCTATTCATGAGATGAGTAATGTTCATGGAACTACTATTACGACTACTACAATGACAACAACAGCAACTACTACTGCCGCCACTCCTCTTATCAGTAGTTATAATAGTGATAGTAATAATAATAATAGTAGTAGTAGTAGTATTTCTACAAGTACTACGGATACTACCTCCAGTGTCGCGAATACTAACAGTGCATCAACACAAACACATTTAATTGGTATTAAACAACAACGTATTATCCCTCATCGTAAGCGTAAATATTTCAACTGTTGTATAAGTGAACCGACTGTCACGTGTAGAAAGCTAACGAATCTAACGTGTACAAGTTTAAAAGAAGTTGTCCAACGTTTACCATCATCATCATCATCACCGCCATCATGTTGTACAAATTTGTCAACAGATCTATGCCCATATAGTAGTAATCCGATCATAAACAATCATAATAATACTAATAATAGTAATTCAATCAATTCAAATGTTTTTGTTAGTGATTATTGTTGTACACGATCAATTGTCTGTAAGCCGACCGTTTGTACCCAAGAAGAAGAAGAAGTAGAAGTAGATGGGAATACATCGAGTAGTTGTACTGGGACAGCTGTAGTCAGTTGTTGTATGCGTAAAGTTGTATGCTGTAATAATACGACGTCGACACCTTTACCAGTTTATTGTAGTCAAGTCAGCAAAGAGGGAAATTCGACTATCACTGCTAATACTAATACTACTAATAATAGTAATAGTAATACTGGTAATTCTGCTGTTAGAACAACAGCAACAACAACAATAAATCAAATGTTAACCTGTTGTCCTTGTTCACCGAAAAGAAAAATGATCACTAGCCAGTCGTGTGAAGTACAGACTGACTTTGATCCGGAATTCAGTTATTCAGATTATGCAGATTTAGCAATGTTATTAGCAGCAACACCAACGCCGACACCACCAAGTCCACCACCTCAGCAACTGCCACCACCACTCCCAACAGCAGCAACACCAATTTCACCATCAAGATTGTCACCTTTCCAATCATTCTCCTCAACAGCGTCATCATTGTCATCAGCATCAGCATCAGAGATGCATCAGAAAAATGAATTGTATGAAAATGTTCAAACAGAATCCATCGTTGATATACTTAAACGATTCAGTGATACAGCTATCGAGAATAATACGATTCCTATGAATTCAGACAGTAATCATAGTAATAGTAATCACAGTAATAATAATAATAATAATAATAATAATAATAATGGCAAGCATTCAGTCACACTAACTGGTCTTTCATCTAGCCTAGATTTAGATCTTCGACTGGAGCCGATTTCCTCTTCTCCTTCTTCTTGTTCACCGCCGTCTTCGTCGTCATCGAATATTAAAATCTCTTCAAGTGATCCTCAACAGATGATTACATCCCTGGAAAATTTAACTGTACTATGGCCTAAAATTGAACAAACCAATGCTGTCACCTATTCCAATAACAATAATAATAATAATAGTAATAATAATAGCAATAGTAACAATAATAATGATACTGTCAATAGGTATTATTCTGATCCTTCTCAACCACCACGGCCGCCGCCGCCACCACCACCACCACCAACGGTAGGAAGACGTTATGTCTGCCGGGAATGCGGCACTTCATTTCGTCAAAATGTACACCTACGTAAGCATATCATGGTACAGCATACTAAAGAGAAACCGTATCATTGTACTTACTGTGATTATACAACTGTAGAAAAAAGTCATTTGACTGTACATATACGTATACATACTGGTGAAAGACCGTATAGTTGTCGTGAGTGTGGTTATTCATCAGCACAGAATTGTACCCTGAAATCACATTATCTACGTAAACATCCGAATAATTTGATTGAATGTCATTATTGTTCTGAATTATTTTTCACTGAACTTGAACTATCTAAACATCATCGGATATGTCGTCTATCACAACGGTGATTTTGATTTTATTATTATTATTATTGCGAATAATTACTCCGGTGTGTTGATAAAGTACATTGTCAGAAAACGTCGTGTACAGCAGAGACACTACTTCTTATTTTGTATAGGTTGTACAGATTTATTTTTAGGTTATTTGTTACTACTACTATTATTTATCGTTATTATGGTCGACTGTGATTGTTTGTAGACACTAATGTGGTGGTAGTCGTTACTTGCTCTATTTCTCACCACTTAAATACCCCTGTCACTGCCAATTTCCATTCACATTTCTTTCTTTCATCCTTACCAGCTAATTACATAAACTGATATTACAAATTATTATTATTACTATTATTGAATAGAAAAAGGGTAGGTCCACTTGTATTTAACACATCCGTGTGATTGATTGATTGATTCGTCGTTGCCTATTTTTTCTTTCTACTATTAATCCTGATATTTTTTCTTTTTGTTTTTTTTTTGAATAAATAAACTGCTCATGCTATTTCATTTCTAGACTTTCTTGTGTTTTCTGTGAGTTGGTTAATCTAAGTGCACAAAGCCTTCAATTGGCCACCTGGACATCAGTGAATTTGTTTCAATTCTCCATCGGTGGATATATTATAATTAAAATGGTATCTTCAGACAAGCTTTGTTGTGATTGGTTGTTAGTTTATATCTTTATATTGATCGCTTTTAGTTTATTGATTTAGAATTTGAACTTCCTTGTCATGTGATTTCTTTTCTCTCTCTCGTATTAGTTGGTGAATGTGACTTATTAGCAATGTCATCTGTTAATCGCTGATTCCTATGTGAGTATAGCAAGCTTCTAGGAGTTTCCTGATATATTTGGATTTCCCGCTGTTCAAAAAATTCCTAAATTTTTTCAAACAAATTATTAGAAATATTATATTATTGTTCCTTTAGATTCTGAGTGGAATGTAGGACTAAGACTTCACTAGTAGATCTCCGCTTTGTCCAACCCTCTGAGGCCCTCTTCAGCCGGTGCCATCATTGCCCGTAGTTTCTCACTTCCTCCTGAAACGATCTCCTCAATGTCACCCTCGGACCTATACACAACTCGTCGTTTCCCGTTCGGGTTACACTCGAAGGGCTGCCTGGTGTGCGATGTCACTCGACGATGGTCCCCTCAGCATGTGCCCGATGTATCTCCATTTTCTTCTACATATATGTTGTTGATTGGTTCGTTCGCAGAGTTTCTTGTTGCTGATTCTTTCTGGCTGGCCATCTGATCTTCAGTATGGAGTCAGTGAAGGCAGCTGTTGATAAAAGTTTGCATTAGTCAGTTGCAAATGCTTTCTTTGACTCGCTTGTCAAGTCTCTGACGCATACAGAAGCACTGACAGACTTGATACTTGTGTTGGAAATTCGAATTTCGTTCTTGGTGCTGAGTAGTGCCGAAGACTGACAGACCAAACTGATTTCAGAATGATGATGGTGTGCGTTGTCTTTCCAATCGAATTAGTGTCCACAATTGTAGTCTACACGTGTTTCTATGTCAAAGAATACACATATCGTGTCTTTCCACACACAGGTAATCTATGTTCTTGGATTCTGAGTTGAAGAGAGGACTCCCACCTTGACCGGCTAATGTAGTGTCTTTGTCGCAGTTGATGCAATTTTTTATTTTGTAGATGATTTGATGTTGATTTTGTCCTTTTTCGCCGTTGGATCCCCTTTGGTGTCTTACTTTTACTTTACTTCGGCTATCTCCTACGGGAGGATGAGCCGGCTTCATAAACATCTCGAATCATCGCTGCCCAGGCGCGGCGATCTGATGCAAGGTTTTGCGACAGGGTTATCCAATTCTTGTTCCACAGACGGAGTCCGTAGACGGTTTGTAGCCCCAGGCACTCCATATCAGCACAGGGCGCGTCGCTTACCGGGAACGCCGTAGCATGGTGAGAGTCGTTTGTAAGAGAGTTCATGAAGTTTCATGGGAATTTGGTACGAATGATGTCCCCAGAATCGCTCGGCCTTTTGTTTGAGAGTGCAGCTCTAGCCTTTACACAACCAAGTGTGGCCTACAAGGCAGTAGGAGTGGAGTAGGGAGTCCACTATCCATTGGCAGCCGGTGACCAGAGTTCGGTTCATACGCCTTTTTGAATGGGGCCAGACATCCAACAAGCCCTTTGTCCATACGTCTGACGGTGAGCTCCAGTGAGCTTCATACGCCAGTCGTTGGAGGTTTGGAATCAGGGTTTAGCCATCTCGCCTAGACTGTCATCCAATGGACAGTCAACCCGGTGAAGAGCGCCGGGCATCCGCTTTCGCCCTCTCACTTTGGTGAAAAACACCTCCGCCACGTGAAGGCAGTGAGTAGGACTTCCTCAGGAGAGGCTATGTAAGACGCCTGGTCATATGGAAGCATTTCGAGAGGTGTGCGGAGGGGTGGCCAAGCCACAGCGCAAGGCACCCACCCCCGACCATCCTGAGGCTTTGGAGGCCTTTGGTGTCTGCACAATGTTGAATGAGGTTATGACTTGTGTGCTATGTCTGTTTCAAATCCATCCTAAGGATAGTAAAGCCATTCAAAATAGATACGGTACACAAACCAACACAATCACTTCATTCAATATTGTGCAGATTAAAAGATCCACTAGTGTAGGAGCATAAGATCAATGCCAACTGCAAAATAAATTGCATTAGCTGTGATAAACACTTCATTGACCGGTTATTTAGTGTGGGAGTCCTCTCCAACTCAGAATCCAAGATCATAAAATTAGCTGTGTGGAAAGAGAAAATATGTGCATTCCGGGGCATCGATACACATGTAGACGACAATCATGAACACGCATTTGTGATTGGGAAAATATACAAATATTAAATAGAGGCAACACTAAGAATGTCAGGGAATTTCTAGAAGCCTAGTTCGCATATGAGTCAGCGATTAACAGACACATTAGTGTAAGTTAAAAATTTACCAACTAATACAGAAGAAACCAAAAATGACAAGAAAGTTCAAACTCCAAATCAATAAAAATAATCGATACTAGGAAATATACAATTATATCATTCACCCAACAGAGAATTCAAATAAAGTTGACTTCATATAAAAGATTTAGCTGAAGAAATATTGTGTATAAGGACCACAAAAGCTCAATAATATTGCGTAGATTCAGTGGTCCTCGGGAGGCACAAACACGAGAAAACCAGGCAGGTTTTAGACCAGGAACAGGGTTTATTGATAATATCTTCACCCTTCGACAGATTCTAGAACATTGGCATTCCTACCGGCGTCCAACAATCATTATATGTCTTGACCTAAAGGCGGAATTCGATTCTGTCGACCGAGAGGTTCTCTGGCGATGCTTGGCTGTAAGGGAAATGCCGAGAAAATACATTGCACTGATTAAGGCACTCTACTCGTACTCATGCAGCCAGGTGAGGGCTTACGGCGAGTTGTCATCTGAAGTGGTGATGACTAGTGGTGTCCGTCAAGGATGCCTATTATCCCTATTCCTATTCAACTTCATCATAGACGTACTAATGGACTTAACCCTAACACACTTCAGCGACTCAGGGATTGACTTGCTACCAGGGAATAATCTCGTTGACTTAGAATATGCAGACGACATAGTCCTTTAAGGGGAGGACGCTGACCAAGTGCAGAGTCTTCTGAACAACCTGAGCTTCAATCTACGAATGTTTGGCATGCGATTCGCTCCCGCCAAATATACGATGATGCTACAGGACTAGACTACACCGACTCCTAGATTAGAAATAGGAAGTGAAGTGGTAGAGCACGTTGACCGCTTCACTTATTTGGGAAGTACCATCAGCCCAAACGGGTTGATCGCCGACGAAATCTCAGCACGAATACAGAAGGCTAGGTTCGCATATGCCAGTTTACGCCGTCTCTGGCGTAGACGTGATATCCGACTATTGACCAAAGGGCGTGTGTACTGCTCAGCAGTTCACTTCGTCCTCCTTTATGGCTGCGAGTGAGACCTGGCCATTGAGAGTGGAAGACATGGAAAGATTAGCTGTCTTTGATCATAGGTGCTTCCGTTCTATCTCCCGTGTGATGTGGTATAATAAGGTGAGCAATATTGAGGTTAGTCATCGGTCGAGTGCTAGATAAGGAGGGGAAATCAATCGAGGAGGCTGTGAAATTACATCGACTGAGATGGTTAGGACATGTGTAACACATGTCTAGCCATCGCCTTTCCCGACGACAGGAAATGTTAGCTGACATAGGGTCAGGTTAGAACAGAGCTAGCGGCGGTCAAACCAAAACATGGTTTCACCAGTCAATGAAATCTACAATAGTTAGTCTAAGCCACATAGGAAGGTGTAGACTGGCCTCCTGATTGGGGTCCTCGGGACGGCAAAAACCAATGGTTGGAGACAATTAGTGATATGGTTCAAAACGGTGCTCAATGGCTGGTGCAGATGCATCCACTCCTTGTGACTTATGATTTCCAATTAAACTGTTTTGTTCTTCGTTATTACTATTCCTGTGTCTTACACCTCTGTTTACTGTCTCTATTATGCATTTCTTCTCTTACTTTGTGTGCTAAGTGAAGTGTGGCGACTTGAACTGTGGCACATATGTGCAAAGTTCTATTGTCGAAAACAGACAGACAGACAAAAGCGTTGCAGTTAGATCAACCAGCTCTGTAAATCTCTATTATTTCATTTCTAGATTTATAAGAAAGTATTGATTGGATTTTATCGATGATACATTAAATATGTGTGTGCGTGGGTGTGTTTGTGACCACTGATCCAAAGTTAATTCACATCGGTACTTTGATTTTCTATAGTTGAAGAAAAATACACAACAAAAATCTGTTTGTATACATTGCACACGTACATAGACCTCCGTAACCAATGTCATGCGTCTACTCTATGGTATGGTTTCTCGGATTTGAATCTCAAAGGGGACTAGTGCTGATAAGCATGAAACCTAAGGTTGGATGAGACTTCCTGCCGATTACTGTCAACCATCGTCAAGATTTCGTATTTGTTACTAGTCATGAGTACATCATATTCAGAATAGTTTTTAACAGACAGCTATTATGTACACCTTCACAGACTAGTATTGTCTGCAATACACTCAACTTCGAGGTTTAGAAGTCATGGAGAAGATTTTTAACCCTCTGGTCGGGCGTGAGGACAAATACTCGCCGAAGACATTGGCTAGGGGTCGCGCTATGTCGTGAATTGGCAGAAGTTAGAATTCATGGGCCATTGGATTGGGTCCCAGTGGCTTAATGATATACGAGCTCGCCTTGTAACCAGAAGGTCCTGAGTTCGAATCCCGGTGGGTGCGTACTGATGAAGAGTCCCAAACTAGGACGAAACAGCTATCCAGTACTCCCAGGTTTTCCAATGGTTCTCTAACCAATGTGTCAGCTCATGATGAAATCCTGTAATGAATCGTTCGATTGGACACTAGTTAGAAACTAGTGTGATATGTCTAGTCTTTTTTTGTTTGGTGCAGACTAAAATTCTATCAGTCAGATGTGGAATGTGGCCAACATTCTACACGTAGCTCGCCATCACGATGTACTTTGAATTGTTGATGTTAGATGGTTGGAAGCAGGAAGTCACAATCGCGAGCCCGAATATCTTAGTGGTAACTTTTCTGACAGCAGTACTGACTGGGTGATGCGGGTTCAAATCTCAGAAGGGACATGAGTTCCTTCAAGGCAGTTGCAGATACGCCTTGCTGATGAGAGCCAACTGGTACGAAACCTAGGTCAAGCGAGACTTCATGTGGCCGAATGCCCCCACAACCATCTAATATGAACCATTCAAATGATAACATTATTTGTTCAACTTATGTGTAATCAATGAAGTTTGATATTATGTTAATTTACTCAGCTGGATTATCACACCTCACAAAATGCGAAACAATGGT